GGGGTTCGAAATCATGCGGAAGTGGCTTTAGCTTCTTAGTGCTGCACTTTAACCACCAGGGAGGGCCTCATTTTTTTTTTTTTTTTTTAACAGTGCTAAGGAAACCAAAGGCAATCTTCCAATCGGCCCAATAGTTATATTCCTGGACAACAAGTAAGACACGTGACACTAATATGTAAGTTGGAGTGTGGGTCTCAGCCTTGCTTCAGATTTCCAGGTTGGGGGTGGGGAGAAGCAGTGGGTGGGAGTTAAGAGTCAAAATTGGGGCCCTCCCTGGTGGTGCAATGGGTTAAACACAGCACTGTGAAGCTATCTTCAGCCACTGCGCACGCATTCAATCCCTGGCCAGGGAGTGACCCGCAGGGCACAGCAGACCTCTCCTGTCTCCCGGCTGCTCCCTTCAGCAGTGTGTTTCAATCTGCCTGTTCTGCTCCCCACTCTGTCTCTAGTGAATCTTCTTACATCCCATACCTCTGGCCTGTACCCCAGGTCTTGTATGCATAAATAAATCTTAAAAAAAAAAAAGGTACAAATAAAGCACCTGTCTGACCCTTATTGAACAGAACTGATATAGAGGTGAAAAGCAGGGGGTTTGGATCTAGCTTGGCAGGACCAAACTGTCAGAGACCAACTGTGTGAGCACAGCAAGCATTTGACCTCTCTGAGCCTATTTCACCCCTGCGAAGGTGGGGACACAGCACCACCTACCCCGAATACTAGGAACACGTTCCACAGAAGTTGAATGTGTTACTGGTCAGTGCGCTCATTTTTGGAAACAAATAGAAACTCGGGTGGCTTCTGCCCCATCATTCCCCTGGGAACTGAAGGCAGCTCTGCCCAGTTCAGGTGATGGGGTATTTTAAAGGAGTTAACCGATTCTGAGGCTTCCCGCCCGGAATAACAGCTGCTGGGCGCAGGCCTGTCAGCCCCGCAGACATTCCAAGGGGCGGGCCGGTGCGGACCAACGGTGACACCCGGGATCCCGGCGGCCCCGCCTCCTCCCCTGTCCCTGCGCCTGGGCGGGGTGAGAGCCGCCTCGCCGCCTGAACACCGCGGCAGGAGGGGGTTCTGGAGCGGGGCGGCGGGACTGCAGGCTTGTAAGTGGGGGGGCTGGTGGGGAGGAGGGGGCTGGGTTATGCATAGGTAAGAAGGAAGGGGCGGGCAGAGGCTGGTGGAGTAGAGGTTTACTGATAGAGACAGGGAAAGGTTGTCCTTGGCAGAAACAGTGGCGACTGTCACCTTGATTTATACTTTGATTTTGCCCCTTTCGCTCCATGCCTGCCTAACCCTGCCTTGCTATTTCCTCCCAGAAGGTGCCTCAGACTTAGGGCAAGTTTGGGGGTGCCTCTGCAGCCCCACCTGGTTGAGGATTTTACTGGGAAGGTGTTATTAGGAATATCCTTTTTTCTCATGCTCTCCAACCATGCTGTATATACTGTTCTCTTAGACTCCAGTCTAGCCGATCTCACTGAGTCTGCTTCCTTTGTCTCTGTCTGGTAGATGGCAAAATCTGAGTATATACACCTTAACAGTTTGGGGACCCCGGGTGCCCCTCACTCATGCACTAACACATCTAGCAAGTAAAAGGAATGGCAAAGAGCTATAGAAGATGGGAAGTTTTATAGAAAGAAAGAGTAAGATGAGGAGGGCAGTGGGTCATTTCCAGCAGGGCTACCTCCTGTGAGGTACTGGAGGAGCCTACCAGGTAGGATAGCCCATGAGGGTGGACCAGATAATTCCAGACTGCCTGGTAAAGGTTATATTTCTGGAAGAGGCTAGAACTGCAATTAGGTTAGGTATTAAGTCCTGCTTGGTGAGGTGGGACTTAGCATAAGTGACTCCATTTGGACCTATTATCTTTTTTTTT